ATCTGTCGTCTCTCTATAGAGATCGAGGGAATGAACGATGCAAACCACGAAAACTACCTCTGTGTCGAGAAAGGACGATTCGTTGATCGGAGCCACGCGGATGTTCGCAGACCCGAGCAATCGAATTTCTCTGAGATATCGTGTTCGTTAGTCGGAGAGAATAGATTTGGCTAGACGCGTATCCGCATCGGTAAGATCAAAAGGATCGAACCTTGTGAATATTCCTCCGTATTTATCCAAGGAATCGTTTAATCGCGAATTATTATCGTACAAACGATGGTAAACTGACAGTAGCGAGAGCCCTGGCGACTATAACAGACTACGAGAGAGCGAAACATTCAATTACGCGTTCCTTGATCACGACTCTCTCGCTTTTCTACCATTCGCAGAACGTATCAAAAGTGGCAGGATAAACAGGACGAAGGCACGAATCAACAGGCACGTCGATGGAACACCGGTATTAGAAGTGAAACGGTAATGGACCGGGCTATAATTATTCCGTGTTCCGCGGAGCAAACAGCCAGTAACGACCGAATTTGCATCTGGATACAATCGTGCAGCCATGGAAATAACAGAAACTCGCTGGTTCAAGGAGAACATTTCCGGCGAACAATTAGAAATAATGGCCGTTCCACGTCGATGTAGCAATCATTGTTAATTGACATCGAAGGAGCTGCGAAACGATTCGGCTCGACGTGGGTCTCCACCTGCTCCTGGATCCCTCGAAAATTGCGCGCAATTTCGTTCGATGGTCGAAATTCATTTTCAGGTACACCGAGTATCTGATCGTTTTTTTTTCACGGCATATGCGATTGTTTTTGCAGGAGTAGAATTAAAAAGCGTAGTAGGGTAGAGGTTGTTCGAGCTAAGATCGAACGTCTTGAAGTTCGATCTTGAATTTCGTACGAAATGATCGAACTTGTATATCGCCGGACGTCGTCTTTACCAGTCATCGACGAGATAACGAAAGAGTATATTTGTATATTTTTCATATATATATATATATCGTTAAAACGATTGTCTCCTCGTCTTAAAACTAGCGTCTTTTAATTCAAAACTCGTCGTAAATTTGTTGTACTTTTTTCGTTCCTTTGCAAACTTTCGAGTTACGATATTACGCTATCGAAGATATTGAGGCATCGTTTGTATTAATAATTCTACCTTTCACTTTCGTAAAACTTCGTCAATTTGGCTACGTTTGAAAGACTCGCGTCTGTAGCCCGAAACAAGTAGCTTCTGTTTTCAATTGCGTCGTATTAAAAGTCCTCTGTTTAATCACAGAGTGAGAAAAAAAAGTTAGAAGCTCGACGTGTCCCAAGGGAAAGATCAAGCTGGTCGAAAAATAAAACGAAAACGACGTGGAAGATTCGAGAAAGGCGAACATCGAGACCTTCGTCCTGCGAGCGAACGGATGCACGCTTCGACCAGACTTGATTTTCTTTCTCGTCTCTCCCTCTTCTTTCTCTTCTGTCTTTTCTCTCGGATGCTCTTCGATCCCCTCTAACCTCCTCTCTCCTTCGTCTTTTCTATCTTTCGTTCGCTCGAAATCGTTCGCTTCGCTGGCCGTTTCTCTCTTGGTAACCGATGGAGGACATCTCACCGCTAATTATGATTAATTTGTGAGACGAGCGAACGGGTCTCGAAGTCAGCGGCTACCAAGATGCAGGGGATCAGCCGTGGGGGGAATGTAATTAATATTCTCAGCGGGAGCGCGTTGTAACGTCACGTGAACGTCACCCAGGTGACTCCGTCGTTCTTCTCATCCTAGTTTGGAGGCTTCGGCTCTCCTCCTTCCATGCCAACGTTCTGCCGTGAATACGCATAATAAAAGCCCGGGGACGATGGCTGCTAATTGCTGTTTAAGCCGTGGCGAGTCATCGTAACTAGCGATGGGATCAAGTTCGACGCGTGTTTGCAAAAGTCCAAGTCGACCTTCGTACTCGAACTTCGTTTCGCGGACTTCGAATAGCACTCGCGCGAAACAATAATTCGTTCGTTATCGTTTATTATCGCCGATCGTTATCGAACGATCGTTCGAAATCATATAGGAGCGAGGTTTCAAACCGATTTTGACTTTTGGATAATGAAAAGAAGCGACAGGCTCTGAGATACGTATGCGTATCGCGCGTATACAATTTTCTTTCGACTTAGAAATTCGTTAACAGACTTTATGGACGAAATTACAAGGCAGCCCCGTTCGTTACGATACGATATCATTATCGTGCAATTTCGTTTTGTATGTGCGGTATTTCGACACGGATAATTCCGTGGCACCGAACAGCGACGGTACAGTGGTTTCTTTATGGAAACAAGGGGGATCCGGATCCGTCGATGATCGATCGAGTCAAAATAAACGCGCATCTAGTATTATGTGTCGAGTTAGGCTACTGTGTAGCGTGGATCGATCCGGTTTCTTTCCGAGAACGAGTTAGCGCATAGTTGGTCGTCCGAGAAAGAGTTTGCTTTGGAGAATAAAATCATCGGTGTCTTTGATTTAACGTCGATGATTTTCGACAGCTATTTTCGCTCGTAACAGCGACGTCGATTTCCGTAACGACGAACGGGAAAAGTCGCTAGATTCGAATAGCAGAATGTCGAAAGCGTAACGAATTACTAAAACGATATACAACTACAACGAAATGGTCGGGAGAAATTTTTAGTTAATTGAGAGATTGTTTTTCAAGATACGTGGAGCGTGCGTAAAAAGTAATAATCGGACATACCGATGAGATAATGTGGCTGGATTATGATATAAAAGTAGGTATTCACGTAACGATAGAACTTGAAAAATTGCGAAGAAAATAACGCGTGACAGGCTCTATTTTTAAAATAACAGCCTTAACTGCGAGATTATGGAAGTTAAGAGGTCGAGCATAACGAAAATTATCTGATAGCGTGGAATTACTATTTTGGATGGTATAAACGAAAGTTATCTTGATAGTCCACGGCACAGGGCCAACCGATAAGGCGATGCAATTTGGAACGCCGAATATTCTACCTATACGCTTAGTTACTTCCCTTGTTTCACGTCGCGAATAATACCCATCTTAAATTCAACTTGGTATTACGAATGTTTTTCACGAATATCGAGTATACCGTATTACGTAAAAATATTTGAAATATTCTGGCAATTTAATTCATAGTTTAATTCACAGTATTATGAATTGATAATTTCAACGTTCGCGGTGAAAACAATCCTGTCTACTATCGAATTTTTAATACGCGGGCAAAATGTATTTACCGATTTTATCGATTCGACGTCGAGTTAGCGAGAAAACGACGAAGAACTGTGCTTTCTCTACCGTTCCCATATAAAAAAAAAAACGACGAAAAAGCTCTTACTTCTTTAACGATACCACCGATAAAGATCTGAACTTGCGTAAACACTATTTACGCCAGTCTACTTACGGTGTCGTACAATCAAATTTCAAGATGTACCAAGTTGCCCCAAAAGATTCTTTCGTTTCGCAAGAAAATAACAGATATGGATATGTTCTATCGATAGAAAATGGATCATACGTAATTCGATAAAATAATATAAAACGAAAAATGTGCATCTACTATTTCCTTATAAAACGAAAGAAAGTTTTCGGACAACCTAATACTTTCCACAAACGTTAGATATATATGTTCGAGACACGATCAAAATCAACCTAACGAAAGAAAATCGCCAAAAATTTATCCCACGATGTACCCCTATCCAGGTATTCCCATAGCGCGTTAATTGCTCAATCCTGCCTACACGGTCTCGAAAATTCGTACGAGAGAGAAGAAAAGAAAAAAAAAAAGAAAGAAAAAAGAAAGCTGCGCATCATTCTAATTCATGAAGCGACCGGCGAGGCTGTCCCGCCTAGTAGCACGCGGATAACCGTGCTGGATTTTAATAAACGGTTCCCCGGTCAATCCCATATACACAGGCGGCACAGTGGATGCGGAGGTGTTTCGCCTGGTAGCTGCCAGGACGACGCGTAGCTCGGGGAGAGGTTAATCACCCGCGTTGGATTTTAATAAACGGTTCGGGGGGCAAACAAAGCTGGTCATCAATAACCATTCCCCTCTCCCTGTACCAGGTACCCCTTGCCACCTGTCTCTGTCTCTTTCTTTCTTCTTTCTAGCCCTTCGTTCCCTTCTCTCTCTCTATCCTGTCTAGCGGCCGAGAAGAGACCCAGCTCGAGAGCCGACCCAGCAACGGGGTACAACCGGCAGAGGAGCCTTTGCCACCAGGTTGTCGAGCCTCATCGGACAGCCAGATAGGCGGAGATCGTATCTGCGTGGTTATTAATTAACCGGCGAGAAGGGAAAGCCTCCTTTCATCACCTCGCAAACGATCTACCTTAGCAAGGCCGAGGCCGAGACCTTGCCCTAGCGAGATGCCAACAGATTCGCAAAGAGACCCTGTGGATTTTCGGCACTCGCCGAGTATTTGTTAGGGGGCTGTGCTTCCGGTTATGCGAGGAGAAATTGTTCGATGTCGTCGGAAGATCGGAGGGTTTTACGAGAGTCGTAGAGATTATCAAAGTTAGCGAGGCTTCTGGATGAAAGCTGTACTCTTGTCGAAGATACGAAAGACAAATTTCACGCGCTTCGCACGATCCGGCCAGAATCGTCGACGCTTTTTCTAGGTATATTCACAGACGTATCTCAGCGTTTTAATAATCGTGCGTTTAATTTCCTTCCGGGTCTAACGATCTCGATCTGGAGACTTTGAACAAATTCTTCCACATCTCGCGCGTATGTCTAAGCGGAACATAAAATTATGAAGATCGATGGTACGCGTAAATTTATGTCTTACGATCGGATGAGATAATATAGAATTTGGAACAGCGAGCAATTCGTTTTACTTATCGTTAGTTGCTAATATGCGATGCATGCAGTTTGTATAGGGATAAAATTTTTATCGGTAAAAAGATTCGGTTTTTACGATGTTAAACGTGCGGATGATCGAGTCCATTTAACGCGACGATCTTCCAATCTTTCGCGTCGTGGTTTACAGTACTCACCCGTTTATGGAAGTTCGGCTGATGAACCAGGACAGAGCGGATCTTGCCAGAGAATGCCAGGCTTGCAACGGTAAAGAATCCGATCTCTCGATGGATTTCATTAGGAAGATTTCGGCGGTTTTGTCGGGTTGATCGTGCTGGAGTCCTGTTCCAAGGGGGATCCATAAACGCAGCAAATCTTCCCGGATTTTCGTTCTGTCCACTTTGTACCACTGCAACAAGGCCAAGAATTGCACGCGTGCATACGTGTGTGTATGTGAAATATTTTTCAAACCTAATACAAATACCGATTCTTAAAAGTATCTGCTTTCTTTTCTCTATAGATTTCTCTATAGATACAATTTAAAAAAACGTACGGACACAAGAGTAAAACGACGATCTAAGAAACATACAAAGACTCTAAAACTAGGTATAAAAATTAAACTACCGATAAGCTATCCTGTGATCGTTTCGATCGACGTCGAAATCTACCGACAGGACTTTCCCGTGGTCGAACGTAGCGATAATTGCAATACGTTCGAGCAACGACGTACCGAATTATAATTCAAAGGCAGGCTCGTCGCTCCGAACGAAGCAAGGAACGATCCAAAGCCACGTTCGAGTATCGGGCAGGAATATTTTCAATTTCGCAGGCAATCACGACACGCATCACGTTCCGCGAGACCGCGGCCTCCGCAAAATTTCGCGGTGGGTTAATGCGTCGAAATAAGAGCCGCGGCCCCCTTGCGATTCATTAACATCCCGCAAGGTGTCCGGCAAAAAGTGTTTCTCGCTTCATTATCGGAGCCGCGTATCGCGACATTAACGATATTCCTCCGGTGCCGGCGAACGGTTTCGGTGCGGAACCGCAAAACAGTCGGAGAAGCAATTACGTTGACCGGTCCTCCGCTGGCAGCATCGGTGGCGGCGG